GCCGGGGTCCCAGCGCTGCGCGCGGGGCCGCGGGGTTCCGGGCCGGGCGGGCGCCGACCTCTGACCTGCGGGAGGGGCTGCCGCCGCCCTGCCCGCGGTCGTTGTTGTTCCCGGCGTCCCTATTATTATCGTGTTTTGAAATGGGAGCAGGCGGCCCCGGGCTTCGAGCCCAGCCGAAGGGGGCGGGCGCGGGCCGGGCAGCGGGGCGCGGGGGCCGGGCTCTCGGGGGCAGGAATGCGGGGCGCAGGGGGGCCGGGGGCGGGCCTGGGCCGAGTGGGCGGAAGGCGGCGGCGGCGGCGGCGTTTGCAGCAGCAGCCCTTGGCCTCCAGGAACAATGTGAGACGTTGCTTGAAATGTTAATTTCCGCTCCTCATTTCATCATCCCCTGGCGGGGCGGCAGCGGTATGTGTCTGCAGGGTTGGTCCTGCCACATGCGCTCAGTTTCCCTCACGCGGGGACCGTGCGGTCGGTCCCGTGGAGGTGGTGTTTTGGAGGCAGTCTTGGTTTTGAGGCCCGCTCTTTCTTGGTGACCTGGTGTTCCGTTGGGGGTTTTTGCTCATGTAATGTTTTTGAAAGCTAATTTTGGATACCAGCTTCCAGGGGTTTGTAAAGGCTTGGGAAGATTAAGTGATTTGAAGAGATCCCTGTGTTTTGAAGACTATTTTTTTTTTTTTTCCTAACTGTTAAGATATAGCATGCTGCGTTTCATGGTTTGTGCAGGTCGTGAGTTTTACATCCACTTTGAAAAAATATGGTCGTTTTACAGATTTTTTTTGGGGGGAGGGCGAAGAAATCAGATCCTGTCTTATTTGGTGAGTTTTTGCGGGTTTTTTTAGCTGTATTCCTATAACACTCTTCAGCTGAGTAAAAGTAAACAATTGTTGATTGCAAAACTTAGAATCTTTTGGTTCTGTTTGAGGGAATGATGAGACTTACTCGTCAAAACATGGAGCATGATATTACTTGTGAAAAAAGTGCCGTGGAAACAGTTACTATTTTTGGTTTGTGCAGACCCAGTCAATGGCATAACTGGGACATCGTGCATCCAGGACCCTGAGCCGGTCACTGGGTGCCTCTGGGACCTTGATTTCTCTTACTGAGGATTGGAGTGCCCTGAAGAACTGGGGTTATGTTTGTGTCTGTTGAGAACCATTGTACACATACTCTGATACTGGTTTGCAGTTGTAAAAACTCAAAGAAAAAATACCTGCTCAACATTGATTGTGACCCTTGAATTGATCTCCATATAGCGGGTGTTTCCTCCCCCACCCTCCACTCAGCTGTTGTTCTTTCTGTAGTTTCACGCTGAAGAGCAGGGTCTCTTTTGATAGGCTGGCCATTCTGAATGGAATGGGATGGGAGGGAACAAAGGCCAAGTTGCTATGACATTTTTCTCTTTGTGCGTGCCTCTTGAGTGCCTTGAAAAGCTCTCTGAAAGATACTGCTAAATTTGGCCCAAAGGAGAAACTTTGAGAAGTTTTCCTTTTCTTCTTTTATTATTTTTTTTTTACTGTGGCAAGATATGCAAAAACGAATTAGCAGAAGTTCTTTAGAGGTGTCACCCAGCCTTGAATTCGTCGTTTGCAGCTCACTGTCTCAGTTTTCTCCAGAGTGGCCCTGTTAATCACACCGCACCAGCGAGCCTTTCATCTCTCCAAACCAGATGGGCTGCTGCTGACTGGTGGCTGTCATGTTAGGTATAATTATAGTGTTGATACAGTGACAAGAACTTTCTGCAAATATAGTTAAACGAAGTGTGCTGTTTGTATGTGAGAATATTTTTCAAGAAGGCTTGTGCTTTGGATATTGACGTAGGTTTGACATACTGCCGTAATGTTTCATCGATTAAAAGAAAGTTATTTTGTTGGCAGTAAGCCCATTGTCAATTAAATAACATAATTAGGAGCATCAGTAAATGCTAGTTCAGAGAATAATCTGCATTTGTTGCCAAAATAAGTGTTTTGATCTGTCCATTACCCTGTGTAAAAGTTTCTTTATCCCTCAGATGATGGTAAGTAAGTGTAATGGATGAGCTTCTCTTAATAGCAGGATACTTGCTAGTCAGTAGGTGAAAATGATGGTGCATTGTTTGTCTGGTCACTTGTGCCAATTTATGACTGCTGTTTAGTCAGTGCTCTGGGGATTGAGTGTGGCCTGTTTGATAAACTTTATACAAAAATTGAGTGAGCTCAAATAACTACAAGTTATTGTCTTGAGAGGTTTTCAGAATGTGTTCTCTTAATTTGAATTTCAAATGGAATTTCTGTACAATTCAACCTTCTCAGTTTTGTCTTCAAGCTATCTGAAAGAGTGTCAGTCCTCCACCCGGGGGACTCAGGCAGTTGGATAATTGGCATAGGAACCCTTTTTAGGCTTAGGAAGTGATCCACCTTAATGACTACTGCATTAATTCCTATAGATGTTTCTATTATTCAGGGCTTTTGTTTGTTCAGTGGGCCTTATTCATGTATGTCTTAAGCTAGAGTCAGACTGGGCTGTGTGCTTAAATGTTTTTCTTAACTCCCATTCTTTCCCTTCATATTTAAAGTTTTCTTTGTGGTTCATCTTTGGACTAGTGTTCTTTTTTTTTTTTTTTTTTTGAGATAGGGTGTTACTGTGTAGTTCAGGCTGGCCTTGAACTCAGGCAGTCACTTCCCCAGTGCTGCGATTACAGGCTTGCAGCACTATACACAGCTCATTTAAGTAGTATTTTATGTATGTGGTAGAACTACAGACAGAGTAGAGGGCCAGGGAATTTAACTCAGTGACGCAGTGCCTTCTTTGCAAATGTGAGGTCCTGAGTTTGAGTCCCACTACCAAGAAAACCTCATATAGAGCCAGGCCTAGTGGTGTGTGCCCTCCTATAATCCGAGCACCTAGGAGGCTGAGGCAAGAGGATTGCTGCAGGTTTGAGGCCAGGGTGGGCTGCATAGTAAGTTCAAGGCCAGCTGGAACTACATAGAGAGACAGTGTCACGAACAAAAGACCAAACAAAAAAAACCTATGTAGAAACATTTGAGTAATTTTGAGAGGAAAAATTTAGGCTCCGTACATTTACATTTATTTGGCTGGCTCGGGATTCTCACATGTGTATTTCGTCCCCCTCCCTTTTTTTTTTTTTTTTTTTTCCTTTTCTTTTTGAGACAGGGTCCCACTGTGCAGTTGAGTCTTGAACTCACTGTATCCCAGGCTGGTGTTAGAACTCAGCCATCCTCCTGCTTCGGTTTTCCCATTTGTTTGCATTACAAATTTGTCTTCATAGTTAAAGGTATGGGGCATAGATTAGATTTTTAGATTGAGACAGAATACAAAATAAGGAAAGGGAAAGTTATCCTGGGGGAAGAAAAGGCATTCTGTGAAAACAGTGTGAATAGGCCAGAGAAGTCTAGAAGCAATCTCTTCCCTGACACCCACGCCTTCCTGTGGAGGTGCCAGGGTTGGAGAGCTTGGAGAAGGTCAAGGCTGGGCTGCATGGAGGAGCTACTACTCCTCGTGTGGTTTTCATCTGTGTCTGAGCACCTGCCTGAAGGTAACGTCATGTGGCTGTAGCATCCTAGTCTAATGGAATCCTTTGAAAGTTTTAGGGTTTTTCTGTGTGTTTAAGAAATTTTGTTTGAAAGGTGATTACTTTTCCCCACATGGCCTGCTTAAGTAATGTCGCAATATCAAACTTTCATTTTCTTTCTGTTTTTGTGTGATACTGATTGAGTCTGTGGCCTTTGCACTGAAGTTTAGGGCCTCACTCCTTATTTTTTTCTTTTTTTTGACAGAACCAGGGATTGAATTCAGGCTCTTGCGCTTGCCAGGGAAGAGCTTATTCCACTGAGCCATCTCCCCAGCCCCGACTCCTTATTTTTAATTGTGAGAAGGGTCTT